TAAAATAGATTTAGGTAAACGGGTTGTATGTCATTTATATATTTCTTATTGTTGTATTCTTCTATTCCCAACCATATGAGCAATGGCGGTTTACACAGTGTCGTCTCTTGCTTTCCTGAGGTACAGATATTTGTAAAACTATATGAAACTTGAGATGACTGGAACCTGTTTAAACTTGACAACCATTAGCTGTTTGATGAATCGAGGTGTGAACTAATATATAGTGTTTTTGAATTCTAGTGTTGCGTAATTCTGCGGTGATCTAAATCGATCTCGTCACGACTGTGTGTATGTAGCAACTCGATATTGAGTTTACACGGACAGGTTTAGAACAGAATCCAGTTTATTAATACACTGTGGTGTAAATTCTTCTGTTTCGATAAACTGATTGAAGAGGGTGTTGGGATTAGCTTGATCAGGTTAAACGTTGTTCATGGAACTATATTGTTAGATAATATCTAGAGAAACCTAGTCAACACGTAGCTCAGTAATAAACAGGAATTATATTCCATAATGTTGAAGAACGGGATGTGAATTCTATCTGTTCTGGACACTAAAGACAAACGGCAGTCGTTGTGATATATAGCCACATATAAAACTGTTATAAAGTTAAACAAGGTGCTGCCATGGCTGACAAGGTGACATCCATACCAATTATTTCTATAGATCACGATTGGCAAGCTAATAATGAAGAATTTGTCAATAATTGGGTGAACTCAGGTGGTGCTGCTGGGACATCAGTAGGTAGATATACACCAGGAAAGGCTTCACCTAAACGATTAAATACATCCAGGTGAGAATGAGGGTCGTTTTATTTTACGTTGACTGACCAGTTAACTAGAGAGTATAGAAGGTTTGATCACTCTACTCAACGATACATGGTCCAGGGTTCGAATATTTACAATAATGGCTAGACCATTGATCATCGAGAATTACACTCAATGATAGTTCGTCGATTCAAGAAGTGGGATCACAAAAAGATCCTCCGGTAATCGAAAACTGGGATCACGAATAGATCGTCCAGTGATCGACAACTGGGATCACCAATAGATCATCCAGTGATCGACAACTGGGATCACCAATAGATCATTCAGTGATCGACAATTGGGATCACGAATAGATCCTCCAGTGATCGACAACTGAGATGTTTCAAGTGTTTAGGTCTGACATATTTGTGTGGTAACAAACTGATATCATATGTATGGTAAATCATCCATCCGTAACATTAATGAAAACGGTTAACCTAGTTATAATATTTATAGAAATTTCATTAAATGGTTTATTTTTGTTTTTACCGCGTATCTGGAAAGTGTAATACATGTTAGATTTTGTTATCTATGTCATGTTGCTGTTTTGTCTTGTAAGGTGTTACAAAAAGTTTGTTGAACACACTTGAGTAACTAAAGGAGAGACAATTTGGTACTCTATTTAGTTTTAAATTTATTTTATTTACACTTTCTACACAAAATCGAAATCCTTTTAATGAATACTATTCTTGAACAATGAATGTGCATCGACAGAAACGCCCAGGATTTGGTAAAATAATCATTATAAAAACAAACAGGCCTTGTAGTTAGTTAATCAGATGCGCAATGGTTTTAGTGCTAAAAGATGTGTACATATACGGATTAGAAGAGACGAATAAATGTTTGTAAGTGGCCAAGTAAGACGTGTCTCAAAACTTTTCTGAAAAAAAAAAAAAAAATGCTCTCGGGATGGTCAAATTTGATGTAGTGTAATTTGTTTTAATACGTCTTATAATTGGTTTAAATACGTCATGTAATTGGTTTAAATACGTCATGTAATTGGTTTAAATACGTCATGTAATTGATTATAATACGTCAAATGCCATGGTCATACACGGCACAGTCAGAATATAGCAAACATGGGACATAGACATACACGAGAGAGTCAGAATATACTAGACATGACATGGACACACGACCAGACAATTTTAGGATTTAAATCGTTTCTACTATACTCAGTGTTGTGTCGTACGTTCGTTTGAGAATAGATTAACTAAGATACAATGGTTTATTTATTCTTAATTGTTTTCTATACATTCTGTTTCATGCTACCTGTCTCCATCTTTCTTTTGGATCTCCTTTCTTTTGTTTTACAGTAGTTATCTCCCTTATATCAATAACAACATTGTGATTTGACAATTCTACACTCAAGTTCCCACCTTCCCATCCCCACCCCCTTGCAAATTTCATTTCATCATAAGTTACATGTCTTTTACTCAAATATATTCCGAGTATCCTCAAATGTGTGTACACATCGTTATAAGACGCTGTTGATTTATGACTATACAGCGTTATAAGTCGACACAACGTTATAAGTCGACACAGCGTTATAAGACGCTGTTGGTTTATGACTATACAGCGTTTTAAGACTACACAGCGTTTTAAGACTACACAGCGTTATAAGACTACACAGCGTTATAAAACTATACAACGTTATAAGACTACATAACGTTATACGACGCTGTTGATTTATGACTACACAGCATTATAAGACTGCACAGCGTTTTGAGACGCTGTTGACTTATGACTACACAGCGTTATAAGATGCAGTTGATATATCTTTGTGTAAGTAGGCTGATTTCAAAACAAATCTTCATCAGTCCATAAAAAACCATTAATAAGAGTGTATAAATATTATGATTAGAATACAAAAAAACTGTTAGTTTCTGATACAACGAATTCTCTCTTTAAATGGCTATCAATCCAATCTACGTCATACTGAAATCTTATAAATGAATAAATCATTATATACTGCATGTTCTGTCAATAAACCATGGACCACACCCTATTATTATTATTTAAATCTGTATTTACATTTCCGTATAGATCGATCTATAACTGGCCTATAGACATGCCAACCATCGTGTACTGTAGATCATCATTCTGTCTGGAGATATATCCAACTTATTAACAACTATGTATTAAATTTGATCAAAGAAAATTCAAATAATTACAAAACTCGGTCTAAGTCCTGAATTATGATTAAAGACCACCCGCCCCCTCCACGAATACAGTATTGTGACGATGACGATGTGTGGAAGATGCTTTATTGTATTAACGGATTAAGATGAATAATTACTTGGCTCCTTCTTGTAATCCGTTTTCTGTTGAAAAGGTGGGAGGAACCATTCTTTTTGTTTTTATAGACTTAAATGTATTCTGTAGGATCTCCCAACTGGTGGGGGGGGGGCAATTTTGCGACCGATATGATTATTTTTTAATATTTATGTCATTTATTGACAGCTCTCTGATATGAATATGGTATCAAAGATATGTGAATGATATAGAAGTAATGAATCATATAAGGGATTGTCAAACTATACCGTACTCAGGTAGGGGTTGTGGGTGTATACAAGGCCAACAATTCGTTATTGTTGCTTACCTATTTACTTGCTTACTTACTAGAGTTAAGTCACTTGGTTCTTTAGACGGTGAACAGAAAACATCATTATGGATGTTATTAGGTAAGTTTCATCGACGTTATTTATTGATCGATTTGAAAGAAATTTAAGGAATTTTGTTAAGGTCGACAGTCTTTTAGTTTACTTTTTTGGAAACGACGTTTTAATGTGTTGTCCTGAAAATGGAAACGACATTATAATGCCTTGTCCTGATAATGACCTTTAAGTGTGTTGTCCTGAAAATGGCTTTGAATGGGTTGTCCTGGTAATGACATTTTAGTGTGTTGTCCTGAAAATGACATTTGAATGTGTTGTCCTGAAAATGACATTTGAATGTGTTGTCCTGAAAATGACATTTGAATGTGTTGTCCTGAAAATGAAAACAAACCGTTAAGGAGTGATTAAATAATTATATTGGATAGATCTTCACTTTTGTCCATGTTGACATTTTGTTTGTCTGGCTGTTATTGTGCTTATGATTTATTGACCTTCTCGGCGGAAATTAATATTTTAATAACACTCAGTTCATATGGATTCATGCACTGAAAGGCGAGTTTTCTCAGAAAAGGTATAATGTTTGAAAATTTCCACATCAACCAAACAATTTTAAGTTAATCTGAGGATGTAAAATGTGGATTTACCAAATAGTTAACGATAGTTCTCGTAAATACGATATATTTTGGCATCCTACTCACAAGTGGTTAGGGTTACTCATGTTGGGTTTTAGAATAATCTGTACCGCTGTTAACCTTATGTTGGATTTAAGAATGTTCTGTACAACTGTTAACCTCATGTTGAGTTTTAGAATGATCTGTACTGCTGTTAACCTCATGTTTCTTTCTACTCTAACTATTGTTATTCAACCGCCATTAACTGTTACTGAAAACAACCATGTAACAAAGATAGTTAATGACAATCAACAATAAACACTAAACAGTACTTGTTTAGGACTATTAAGTTGTTTTAGTTGATGTCATATTGCACCTATATATCAACATTTCCAGTTAAAAGTGTGTCTCACACATTAAACTAACTGAAGCGTGACTATTTCAAATTAAATTTGTTTTATAATAATTATACATAACTGTGTTTAACAACTAAAGGAGGACATGTTATATAAAGTGTAGGTTGACATAGGTATACATATATACATATAATTACCATGTGACGACATGTAGACAAGATGATATACCATTTTCCGTACGGTTATTTTAAGAATATCAAGCTTGTGAGGGGGGGGGGGAAGCATTTCTCGTAAAATAACCCTTAGGAATTCGATTAATCGCCTCACCCCCTCCATACAAATAAACTGCTGGTCTCATATTAATGAGTACGTCTGCCCTAACAAATAACCAGTCGTTCAGGGGCCTGTTTCACGAAATTTCAATTAAGATAAAATCCAAATTTTAGTAATTTGATTGGATAATATTAGATTGATGTTTGTGCTTACCCTATGAAAATAGAAGTATCAACTAAAATTTGTATTTTATCTTTAATTAAGATTTCGAGAAAGCGGGCCCTGCTCTATATATTAGACAACATCTAATAACTTGTCACTTTATTTTTATTTCAGCAATAAAGATGAGAGTTTGAAGAGTTTTAGTGTACCGTCTATACCTCCCAGAAAACCTTTAGTTAGTAGCTGGGGTTCTAAAACCAGTCTTAAACCACCTTCTATCAGTCTCAGTAAGTATAGTTTATATATTCATAAACAAATCAAATTCAAATGTTTCACCATTGTGTCGTGTACTCTATTGTGTGCTTTTTATCCCTGCATTGGCCGAGAAAGTTCATCCCTTGTCAATGATGCAGGACGGAGGGCCTGACAAGGACTGTTGTCTAATCGTTCGGGTGGGACGAAAAACCGAGGTCCCGTGTACACATTGGCGTGCACGTAAAAGGGCCCTTGACAGTTGGAATTCGATCTAAGAGTAGACCGTAGTGCCGCTGTCCAGGCACAATTTACTTCATAGCATACTGTATTGGGTATGCCCGTCTTCATTAACCCAGTAGGAGCAGAATAGTGGGATGTTAAACCCCATTTCATTTCATTTCATTTCCCTTGTGTGCTGTAAATAGCCAATGAACACGCATTTTTAAAAGTCATGACTGGATGTTCGATATCATACAGGGGAAGTCATCCGTTATGACTGGATGTTAGATCTTAAACAGGTGACGCCAGCCGTTATGACTGGATGTTATATCTTATACAGGCGACGTCATCCGTTATGACTGGATGTTAGATCTTAAACAGGGGACGTCATCCGTTATGACTGGATTTAGATCTTAAACAGGTGACGCCAGCCGTTATGACTGGATGTTATATCTTATACAGGCGACGTCATCCGTTATGACTGGATGTTAGATCTTAAACAGGGGACGCCAGTCGTTATGACTGGATGTTCGATCTTATACAGGGGACGTTATGTGTCGTTATCATTGAATGTTAGATCTTATATGGTGTATAAAATGGGAACTAAGTATAAACACGAAACGAAATAAAGATATAATATTTTAATATTTAAGATATATTATTATAGTAGAAACTATGATTTAATCATTTTTATATTTACACTTACAGAACCTGTAGATAGTACAGTTTGTATAGTTATATTTTATATTTTCAGAACCTGTAGACAGTACATATGATAGTATAAGTGAAGAAGATGTCGTTATACCATCTGATGGTTGTTTATATAGTTTTACTGTCGATCAGATGGCCACATTCTTTAAATATTTAAAAGTGGAAGACAGGATGATCGCGCACATGCATAAAAAGGGAGTTAACGGAAAGAAATTCGCTAATTTAAAGGACACAGAATTAGATAATCTCCGCATAAATAATCCGATTATCAGATATTTTAAAGATAAAAGTCAGAGAAAGAAAGCCGGATTTATGTTGTGATGTGGTTGCCTGGCAACATGTTAAATATTGTTTTGTTAAAATCAAAACTCGCCAAAAACAATAAAAGACCTCACAGTTAATACGCTTCGATTTGAGAAGAGTACATAATCTGACTATATACCAAATATTATGTTTTATCTCCACCATAATAAACAAACCTACACCTTAATACATATCAGGCCAAGTAAAGAAATAATTCGTTTTATTTAACCTCAGTGCCGTTACAGATTCTCTTACCATGGTAGATTCGTGGGGCTGGCCCCAATATCAATTACTTGTATTTGATTGTTTTCTGATGGTATATGGTTGACTTCTAGGGCTGGCCCCCATATCAAATTAGTTGTGGTTGACTGATTGTGTATAGTGGATTCCTGGGGCCGGCCCCCGTATCAAATTACTTGTGGTTGACTGATTGTGTACTTGTAGTTGACTGTTTCCTGATTGTGTATTGGGATTCCTGGAACCGGCAACCCATATCACGGTTTCCTGATTGTGTATGGGGATTCCCGGGACCGGCCCCCATATCACGGTTTCCTGATTGTATGGTGGATTCCTGGGACCGGCCGCCATATCAAATTACTTGTAATTGACTGTTTACTGATCGTGTATGGTGTACTTATACTCGTCAGTGGTTTTTGTTGAGGTAGTTATTGGGTGTCAGGATTCATACATACTATTCGTGGCCATTCTAAAAATAATAATTTGTATATACGAGTCATTTATATATTCAAATTACATAATAATTGATTCTATATTAGGTCGTGTGAAAGGTAAGGGGCGCGTGGGTGTAAATATGTCGATAAATGAACATGTCTGTAAGATTGATACTCAAATATTAAAATGTTCCAATATTAAAATATTCCAATATTAAAATGTTCAAATATTCATTGTTCCAATATTCATTGTTCCAATATTCATTGTTCTAATATTCATTGTTCCAATATTCATTGTTCTAATATTAAGTGTTCCAATATTAAATGTTCAAATATTAAAATATCAATCTTCAAATATTAAATGTTCAGATATTAAAATATCAATGTTCAAATATTAAATGTTCAGATATTAAAATATCAATGTTCAAATATTGAAATATTGATGTTCAAATATTAAAATATTAATGTTCAAATATTAAAATGTTAAAATATTAAATGTTCAAATATTAAAATGTTCAAATATGAAAATGTTTCTATTATGTATATAGATAATGAAGGTTCTATTAAATTCGATTACCGTATGTCGTAAGTTTAAACGTTATTATCAAATACAAGTTTCCACGGTGTTAGATAAATATTGTATAACTATTCTGTTGTATATAAATATTATGTTGTATTTTACTCTATATATAAATTATATCTATGACTATTATATACATATGTTAATTTTAAACAGGGTCTGTTTTATATTTTATATGCAGCATTATTAACCTGAGTCTGAATATAACCATATACCCTTCGCCATAACTAAAGAACGCCCTACTTACGGTGATGGTAGTAATAAATACACATTTTATGCTTATCAACAATTTCCTTTTAGTTTAGGTGTTAAATATCCATCCACCCCTTTGCTATAAAATGTGTAAGAAGAGGCTCTAGCGTGCTGTATAATCGAAGATATGTATACCCGGTATTATAAGCTGCACAGGTTGGGCTATATTACTAATGTAAATTAACTAACGAAAAGTTAAAAAATCATGTCATAAGAAAATTCCTATAGGGGAGGTGTTTTTTTTATTATTATTGGTTGGGTCTCTCAAATTATTGAATCTGAGTACATACCTTGTAGTGTAATTGAACGTTTTGCCAGTTTTCGTGTAATGAGATCGCGCATGAAGTCTATAACATTCTCGCCGTGGCTGGCTAAGGTGTTGTCTGGACCGTATATGTAACATACTGCCCTAAATATATTTTTTGAAAGATTTAAAGATATTTATTTATCTATTTCACATTTATTCGTACATTAGTGTACACCTCTTTACAATTTACAATATATAAAAATACATTTAATCAATGCATTAATAGGTAATTATTTCATTAAGATCTTTTTTATGTGAGTCATTTTCGTGCGACTCACGCATATTCATCATATCTACAATTTGACCAGCTCTTTTGAGATCAAACTGATTTACATTGGTATTATCCCATTTATTTATTATGTTTAAAAGTTTCCAAAACTTTCGAGTCAGTAGTAGCCAAAGTTGAACGACGAGACGATCGGTAAATGGCGACAGGTATATCAAACGCCAGTCGTTATGGATTCGATTCCTGGTAGGTTTCCCCACTCACTTCTAAAGACTTCTTATCGCTTGATTGCGAATTATTCAAATAAATATATAAATATATATCAATCCAGAAATACACCTCCCCCCTCTCTCTCTCCCTCTTTTTCTCTCTCTCTCTCTCTCTCTCTCTGTAAACCCTAGCAACAAAGGGCTAAAATTTATTTAATTCTGTCCGCGATCAACTCCTGTTGGAAGAAGGCGCCTTTTATAAAAATTGAAGTGAAAAGACGATTAAGACGTTGGTGATCAAAGGGAGACAATTCTGATAACCAGGATTTTCTCATTGACATACTGAACACGATCAATTACATCCTATATAGCAATCTGTTTCACAGAGTATTTCGAAAGTCTTCTAATACCTCTGTAAAAGATGACTGCCTTCAACACATGACGTAATATCACGCGGCGTCAATCATTGGCTCAATGGCGCGTACATTGTTTACACAAGACGTTACTGATTCGAGCAGAATGGCGCCTTTTACTCATTTTAATACCCATTTACACTAAAATAGGAAATAATTTTTACCTAAAAATACTACAAACGTCTTTATTTATTTTTCTACTACATAAAAAAAAAAAGTTTTAGAATTTAATTTGTCGGAGGAAATAAGTTAATATTTGTGGTTCATTAAGTCGAATCAATGTCATCCTTATCAGTGATTGTCGCGGCCTAGCGAATATTCATTGCGGATCAGTGTGCTTACATGTATCAGAAAGAGATAACTTGGCTCGTGGAGCTTTGATATGGTGAGTTTCGATTGAAAAGCAAATCCATTAATTATATAACTGCGTCGGTGATGCGTGGTTGCATTCTTTCTGTTTCTTTCTATTAAGGAAATTTATACAAATAGCTGAGCCAATTACTCTCCATAATGCAGCGGTTCAAAACAAGTATCGAAGGATCGGAGTTGTCTCCCATGTAACACTATGTCTGGAAATCTCAGATTTCTGTCCTAGAATCTTGGAAGCGCGTCAGTGATATAGGAACGAGGTTAAATAAGTAAAATAAAGTTTCCAGAGACCATGGATAGGGGGCGCACGGGTGTCGGAGGCACATGTTGCGAGCGCCGAAGGCTCGAAGCGCTCAACCGGGAGAACCCTAAAATGCCATTTCCAGAGATGAATCCGGTTTTAAAGTGCGCCCTCTGGATCCAGATGGGGAGGTGGCATGCGCCCCTCCCCCAATTCCGCCTGGCTCACACACCATGACGTCATTACATTGCTTCACACACAATAACGTCATTACATTGACTCACATTTAACCTAAATAAACACACCATGGGGCATGACTCAGTTTTAACATTTCTCCATTTTAGCTCGTGGGTTATCTTTAAAAAGATTTATATTCATTTAAGTAGCATTTAATGGATGACGAACACGTGACAACCTAACAGATAATAACTACTTGCTTTATTGACGCTTATTTGCTGGATATACATGACTGAAATCGTGGTCGACAATTCACTCTGAATATGAATAAATACAGAAAGTAGGGTTATGATT